AGAAAGGACTTGTATCGCTGAAGTTTCTCGGAAAAAATTTGTACGGGAAATTAACAAACAAGCAGATACGCAACAGTATGATTTAATATCACAGGGCATTTTTGTACACAGCTACATACGACTTACTGTTCGTTTACTAGATTCTCTCTGAAGAAATTGTACATTAATAATAATTACAGTATACGTTTCTAGTTTATCTGGAATATCGATTATTCTCATGAAACTGACATCCACGTTTTATTATTTTAGTTATTTCTACATAAATTTGAAAAAAGCTTTATATTTACAAAACGTTAAAAGACAGCATTGGCTAAGAAAAGCTCAAATCAGCTACTGCCTAGTCGGAGACAAAAGATAGATCCAAAATGATATTTCTTTACACACCTGTTATTTCGAACCTGAAATAGCTACATTAAATTTAAAATGAATATGGAAATCAAACAAATGTCAATCAGTAAAGTAAGGCGTTATTTTAAATTCGAAAACTAATTACTTCAAACAGTTACATTTTCAACAGATTAAAACTCATTAGCATCACTTACATGCGTATTAAAATCCAGATTGATCTAACCTGTAGCTTCTTATTATTGATGTAAGATGTTTGAAAACTGTGTTTTTTAACCGCTTTACTGTAATATCTTTAGTTTGACCCTGAAAAAGAAAGGTCCGTCTTTCGAAAGCGTTCGGGTTATAGGGTATCGTATCTCTATGTTATATTCATTTCTTGAACCTAAATGTTTTTCTAACATCATGAGAGTAATATCACTGTAATTTCTTTGTTCTTTTTTGTGATGTTATTTTGGTGATAAATGAATTAGAGCTTTCTATGTAAATTAACTACGTCTCATGTTCTAAAATGTAAAGAGATTCATTGGAAACATTCAAGCCCATTCATGCTATGAAGGATTTTTGCAACCGCTCAGTATCGCTCTGCTGACGGCAAAAAAAAAACAAAAAACAACAGTTTAAAACTAGTCTACAGGTACATTGTCATTAGGTCTAATATTCGTGATAAAAATCACGCTAAACAGCAGATGTTTATTTTGATAAACCTATTCCTTATTCCATGACGGATTTCATGTCAAGTGACTCTGATTTAGCGTAATAGTTTAAGTAGAGAAATATAAAAAAATAACAAATTCAGTTTAGTTTAGCGAAACCATTTTAACGAATATTAGGCCTGTTGATTCTGTTGCTTCGCCAGTTTACGGCGATTAACATAGTAACATATAGGTACATTTTCCCCACGCCTGATGAAGATAAATATTTTATGACTTAACAACAGATACAATATTCTTCGTTTGGTAAAAAAAAAAAATACTTAGAAAAAAAAAGTAATGTATCATTTGTCTTACGAAGGAGGGACATTTAAAAGAAAGGAAAACATGAGGTGCGGCATCTGTTACCTCACAAAGAAAGAGCATTCTTAGATATAACACTAACAGGTTGTTTCCGTCATCTGATGAAAACAGGGCATTTCCTAAAACTTTAAACTGGGTATTCTTTACTTGATGAAGAAAAATCATTTTTTATTATGTAACAGATGTAGTAAACATTGATTGATTACAGAAATTGAATTTTAAGGCATATTTTACCTGATGAAGAAGAAACATTTTATTCCTTGCCTTTACATAATATTGAAGGTCAAGGAGTTAGATATAATATTATGGATATAAGGATATAATAAAATGAAAGCTTCTAATCAGGTTCTGGTCCAGGGTATAAAGAATGACAAAAGAGGATGCTGAGTACACATCAGAATCACTGTGATGCATATTTAATCCAATCATTTTCGATGGATGAAATAGTGACTTTCTAAATATTATATGCCTAATTTAAAGTAATATTATAATTATATTGCTTTTATGCTCCAATATACATTACAGGAATTAAACATTATAACTATGTTTTTGTTACAAAGGTCGAATTATTGTTAATATTAAATGATATATTCTCAATCATGTGACATATCTTTCTTTTCTGAGTTAAAGCGAAAAATACAAACAGGTTTTTATGGTAAGAGACAAATTATTTACTTACCTCTTCAGAAAGCTGTGTTCCAAAATTCACCCACGTACCTGTAAATAATAAAGGTTTATTTAGTTTTACTAGTATTTTCTTAAACAAATCAATTTATTCATCGGTATAAAAAATTTAGAGTAATAGCCTAATAGGAGGAATGTAAAAAAATGCAATCTAGCGAAACTATTTTCACGAATATTAGGCCTGTTAATACTGTTGCTTCGCCATATTTCGGCGATTAAAATCGCAGCATACAGGTACATTACAAATATTCTATAGCTTAACATCAGGTACAGTATTTTTTTACGTACATCACTAATCCATAAAGCTATCTCACTTAAGATTAATAAGAATAAATGGATAAATAGATAGATAAATGATTAAGACAGACAGAAAAACAGGTGAGTAGTGTTTAAAGCAGTGAAGGGAAACACCAACAAACAAAATACAACTAGATACTTAATCATAACCCTTTCTATATCATTAACATACATGTCGCTCGCTAATAAACCTAGATGTAAACTCACTGATTTGAAGAACGTATAAGAATCTATATATTTACCTAAGCCAATGCAGGAAATTTTCAGGCCAGACTTTCCAAGGTTTCTAGACAGAAAGTAATTTGATTATATATACTAGACTACAGCAATAATAAGTTCCATTCTTGATTATATTGTAATTACTAGCAGTCTGCGGTCAAATTAGTATAATTATAACAACAGTACTTCTTTAAATATAGGATTTCTAGAATAATATATACACAAGAATTCTAATCGCAGACACTGAAATCTAAAGTCCACTTGTCTTAGGCCTAACATTAGTTAAGTCTTCATTAAGTACGCCTATATTAGATAAAGAGATAAATTATCACTAACTTGTGTACGTGTTTTGCTTTAGTTTTGTTAGGGCTAAACTTCACTGTAGTTAATACTATCAATCAATAAACTTATAATGTTATTCTACGACCTAATGCCAGATCTTTTTAAAAACTTTGATAAGCTTTTAATATGTTGTTGTACAAACTGTCTACTAATGTATCTTTACATCCGTCTTTTGTTGAAATGACGTGTTCGCGCGCATTTTCGGGACAGACAAAACTAAGTAATATTATAACAGATTTGTAAATATAATAGTTACTGGTTTGTTGAACCTTACAACATTCATAAGGATGGTTAACACGTTAATTTTAGGTCTTTCAATTGACAATATATCCAAAGCAATCCAATTTCAGTGACGAAAATTTGTGTATGATCTCATTGTTTGTCTCGTGCTTGTAACACTGATAGCTTTTACAGAAGCTGTACAATAAAACATAGACTGTTGGATTGGACTTGAGAAAAATACTATTTTTATTTTTTTTCTTCACGTTATACTCATAAAGACTGTGTTCCACTCGTGGAATCTGAAATTAATATTAAGGTATGCCTAACTAACTATCAGCAAACTCCCAAGTTCATTGATTTTGAAGTGTTTGAGGTGCATCTATTCGCAGTTTCATCGCGAATGGTACCTTATGCATAGGCTAAACGGCCAGATCAAAGATCCCGAGGAAACAGGTATAATTGTTCCAAATTTTGAATTGTTGACCAGGGGGAAAGGAGTCAGTCCGCAGTATCCGTCGCCACGAGGGCTTTGCCAGACTCTTTAAGTCGTATAACGGAAGGGTTTGTCTAACGTTTATAGCGCAACCACAAATGAAAGTGCGGAGTGTGTTCAGTATCATCGTACCTCAAACTTTGAACCATCTGATCCTTAGCCCGGCACGCTAACCATAAACCACGCCATATCCGGAACTACTTGAGATAAAAATATTTTCGTAGCTTTCACGATAATTTACCTTTGATAAATCAACTGAATACAAACTTCTACCTACCTATAACGCATCCCTGTGGCCCAGTGGACAGAAGTCTGTCGACTCGGGGGACGAGTGGTCATTGGACTCTCGCTGGACATAGTGCTTTCGTCCAGACATTCTAGGCTGGCCATAGGTGCTCTGAAACTATGACCATATATTTACTTTGGTCTAACTTCGGCGAAGGAAATTAATAGAAACTTTGTTTCAAAAGACAAGGAAAATAAAAGAGAAAATGAATATGCAGATGAGAAGATATAGAAGCAAGTGGAAAAACTGAACGAGCAACTGAAGGGAAGAAAACAAAAAACAAACAATCAAACAGACAAATTATCGGACAGCAATAGAGAAATACATTAATAGTACTAAAGGAAGACAATAATAACTAGTCAGTTATTTTAATTTTCTGGTTTTTAGAAAAAAAATTTATTCGTCACTAGTTATTTTGTATCAACAACCGTTCTTTTACGAGAAGAAAATGGATCGAACATTAGTTTAACTCTAGTTTGGTAAATAAAATAAATTCGCATTTTTTTTCTACTAAACAGTTTTGTCTGCAAAGTTTTTTTATTTCTTTTACCCTTTTGGTGACACCGTGAAATTCATGCAGCTTGTGCAGTAGTACCATATAATATAAAGACGAGGAAAACCATCTTTTTTTAAGGGTCTAAATTATTACAATCTTATTTTATACTAATTATAAGACAGCCCATTTTAATAGCAAGCTTAAACGTAAAAATGTCTCATGAAACTATAACTGATTCTTATTCGATGCTTCAACTTCTTACCTTATAGGTTATGCCAGTTCTTAAAACGTTAGTGAATAATTAGTATAGTACACTCTTAAAAGCTATGTTATATAATGATAAAAATTATCTCTATATTTCACTGAGATTGTAAAACTATGGTTTTACCTAGGCGAGTATTTATTATTATTATTTATTTAGAATAAATTTTTCATAGTGTTATTAATGGAGAAACTCTGATAGTTTAACAAATTACCCAGAACCAATGTGTAATTTTAAATATTAATCAATTTCATAGAGAGAAAATTACAAATTTCATCACCAGTATTACAGCACACAAACAACTAAAGCAATGTGAAATTCAATATATTTTTGAAGCTGTTTATGTCGACATTTTTACGGTATTTTCCTGAAAAATTAATCAAGACACAAAATCAGAAAATCACAGCTAAACCGTTAACATTAGGGCAGAATATTAAAGCCACGTATTAAGGTTTCCTTCATATGTTTAACCTTTAATTTACCGCCTTTCGATAGAGGCTTTTAGGAAAGCAACTTGGAACAACATTGTTAATTACCTCAATAAATTATGAAAGCAACTCAGAGTAACATAATTAATTATCTCAATGAATTATGAAAGCAACTTAGAGTAACATAATTAATTACCTCAAGAAATTATGAAAGCAACTTAGAGTAACATAATTACTTATCTCAAGAAATTATGAAAGCAACTTAGAGTAACATAATTAATTACCTCAAGAAATTATGAAAAGAACTTGGCGCATCATTGTTAATTACCCAAGGAAATTTTCTTTAAGCATTTCAGCCTTGAATTCGCTCATTTCAAGAAAAAAAATATTTAGAAATTTCAAACTATTTAGCTACTAAGTAGGCAACAGTAAATTTTATGTCAAAATCACCCAAACGTATTTATTAAAAATCCGAATTAACTTAGCACTTCTCAGAGTAGCAGAAATTACGTTCTCACATATGCCGAAACAAATACCTTTTGAAAAATGTGTTTCACTGAGAACCTTAAAAGTCGTTCTCTGACTTCTACACGCATTATCTGGTAGAAAGTTTATTACTATCAATGTTGGCCTTAAAGAGTAGTGGCAACTTCAATATTTGAGTTTTTAGGGGCCTCTCTCTATTCCAAACAACTATAAAAACTGTCTTTAATTTATTTTTACTAGTTTTTAAAGTATTTACTGCTGAATGAAGGATGAAAGCCATATTAAAGAAAGACGACAAACAAGTTCTGAGAACGTTTCGGCTGACGACTTTTTTGAAGGTCTTTGAACGTCATAGGCTACTAAACTGTGTTAACCTTCTTGTCAGGACATTAAAGGCAGCATTTCTGATTCAATACAAACGTAATTCTGGTCCCGGTATAACTATTATTATTATTACTGTTACATGTAAGTTTTATTTTATCTTTTTCTTTATTGTCAAGCGCAAAACTACACAACAGGCTATCGGTTCTATGCCCCCCACAGGTATCGAAACCCGATTTTCGAAAAAGTTGTAAGCCGAAATGGCGGGTAAAATATAAAAAATAAAAACGTTTACCTGAAGTTGTTTGGTTCTTTGTAGTCTTTATTGAATATTTTTTTTTAAATTAGCTTTATCAGTTACTCACATAACATAGCTAATAGGCTTTCTGACGCCTTTCAGTTGCACAGATGAGTTTAAAATGCCCTTTAAAATTATTCATTTGTTTGTGTCAGAATCTCGTACATAGATGTCCCTAATGATCAGTACCAGCTGCCATCTCTTCAACTACTGTTGTCTGACTAAATAATGGGATTTGACCAGCATACTTACAACACACTTCTGACCACAAAGTGCGGAACGTATCTTGCAATCAAGAGACACGAACCATGCATTTTCAAATCAACAGTTCGGTCACGTTAACCACTAGACCATGCCCGGTTTATTTAAAGGTAAAATGCATTTCATTTGTTTAGTTTTCGTCAGCAGGTAGTCCAAAACCTCTTCTCTGGTGTGCAAACCTGTTAGTGGAGTATGTAATCTTATTACCCTGCTTCTGGAAACTTCGTTCTTTCTACATTGTTCCAAGTAATCTATATAGTTCATTACTCGATCTAAGAATTCAGTCGTTAGATTCAGCGCTGGGTCATTCAGTTTGATAAATTACTCTATAGATTCTATACCTTATCACTTAACCAGAGTGATGCTTCATGAGATTTTACAATGTATTATCGAGCTGGAAAATACATTTGTGATATTCAACACGGTGTCACTCTGTCTGAGAAAGTTTTTGTCGTATCTCTAAGATATAACAGTCTGAAAGATGGTCCATTAAATTCTACTACATGTGATCGCAGGATCCCTAAATTGTTCTCTTTCAAGAGTAAATGCAACCAAAATTAAGAGTAACAAATATTTTTACTTCTTGCTTTTGAATTTCATATGTCGCGTTGTGTTGTAGCCTGTATATTGCACAATTCTTCACGTGATTCATGGCATGTGCATGTTTACTGATGTCACGACAGTACAAACTGTGACGCCATTTTAGTGTCTACTAACTGACTCACAGACAACACACTACTGTATAGTTTTGAGAGAGGTTAAAACAGGTTACCCCCTCCAGGCAGCCTTCGGTTCCCTTTCGGAGAAACAATATATTATCGAACTTGAGAATACATACATGATATTCACTCAGCCTGAGATAGCTTTCTAACATATCCTGAAAATCGCTCATTAGATTACATGATGTATTACACAGCCTTAAACCTCAGTCATTTGATTTAAGATAATATCACTAAATCTGAGAAATATTTCCTTTGCGTCTACGTGTCACACAATCGGAAAAATATAGGCTAACAAATATTCACTAGTTTTAACCCAATACCACGTAGGCTAACAAATATTCACTAGTTTTAACCCAATATCACGTAGGCTAACAAATATTTTTCATCGAATTATGCAATGTACAAGGTGATTATAAAGAAAACTTCTTATTTAAAAAGATTATGTCTTTAAAATGTTCCTCCTAAGGGAACAAATTTCACCTAAGGCACATTGTAAATCATGTTTGTTAAAAACAAAATTGGACATGTTTGAGAGTGTTTCAGAAACTGTCATAGCAAGTGTTCAATGTGCTTTGCATCATTCTGAATCAGCGTATCAAGCCAACCACTAAATGAAGATGTTACAATCATCATCTGTCCCGAACTGTGTTCATTGATCCACACAACATCCTACACAATGACATACATTTTATTCAATTCAATAGTCTCATATTGTTAAAAAAAGAAAGAAAGAAGATAAATAACACCAATGCTAACGAAGAAAAAGAAGATACAGGTTTACAGCATAATATGGTTTTAAAAACTACGCTGAATAAAATTTATGATTCTCAAAGTACCTCTGGTGAAATGTTATTACCTAAACACAAGCAATCTTTCAAAATATAATCATTTTAAATGAAAACTTTCTTTACAACCCCCCCCCCCCTGTCAGTCAGGCTAAGAAATTGTCATTTAATTCTTAGTCTGAAAAGTGAGAATAAGTGTTAAAAAAATCATAGCTAAATTATGCAGTGTACAGCATTAGATATAATTAAGGAAAGAAATAGGGGAGCACCTATAGCAGATATAGAAGCTAGGGGAGCACCTATAGCAGATATAGGAGCTAGGGGTGCACTTATAACAGATATAGGAGCTAGGGGAGCACCTATAGCAGATATATGAGCTAGGGGAGCACTTATAGCAGATATAGGAGCTAGGGGAGCACCTATAGCAGATATAGGAGCTAGGGGAGCACCTATAGCAGATATAGGAGCTAGGGGAGCACCTATAGCAGATATAGGAGCTAGGGGAGCACCTATAGCAGATATAGGAGCTAGGGGAGCACTTATAGCAGATATAGGAGCCAGATGTGAAATAAAAAAGTAATGGAATATATTTTGAGGCGGTTGTGTGATTATGGTATGACACATACAGTTTTTCACTAAAAAAGAAAGGGTTCGTTATTAAACTTTATTATATAACATGTATTAAAGTTAAACTTCAATATGTGCAATTAATTAGTAGGCTAAATAATTATTATCTAGGTGATTTATTGCAATGAATGAAATTAAAATATAAATAATCACTGAGATGTCGATAGGCCAAGCAGATTGTTTCAGAATAGGTCTAATTTACTAATTACTACAACACCATAGAACGATAAGCAAAGGCTTTTTGGAGTGCCTAACCTAACTTCACTACTGTTTTACGAGAAAATGAACTAACTGCCTTTGGTCCCGTTTGAGTCTAAACACGCGTACTGATTGGTTGAATTTAGAGAAAGAAGAAAAACAAAATGGCGCGAAATTAGTAACGTGTTGTGCAATCGCAGTGCTTCATTCCTGAAAAAACATGAAGAAGTGTT